GTTAAGAACACTAACCACTTTTCCAAAGGACCCAGGTTCAATTCCCAGCACACAAATGACAGCTCATAACTGTCTGTAACTCCATTTCCAGGGGATCTGACACTCTTACACAAACACACAGATACACACACAGAGAATAAAAATAAATCTTTTTTTTTTTTTTTTAAGAAAGAAAGTAGTTAGCTACCCCCTAGTGGTCTAGACTATTGCACTAGTGGACACATCTTCTCTGGAAGGTTGGTTTAGTAGCTCCCAGGGTCCATAGGGAAAACAGCCCACATGCACAGCACCTGCAGGTGCTATGAAGACACCTGCACAGAGGAAGCTTCTGGCTCAGTTCCAGCTTTCTGGATTTCTCCAGTACTGCAACCAAAGCAGGTCGTGTTGCACACTCAGCAACAGAGTCTTCCCATCTAGCTCTGGTGGCAACCCAAAACAATGACAATAGCCTGTATCATTGGGGGGGGGCTCTAAAGTTCTCAGAACCTTTTGATTTTGTCTTCTCTGTCATTAGTAACTTCTCTAGCTTTATACAACAATACATCTAATTCATATTTTCAGCAAAGTCATTAGTTTAAAATATGTTGGCCCCCATCAGAGATAGACATCTAGAGAGTCATTCTTAAGACAGCATTTCAGACAGATGTTTCATGTAATGCATCCCAAAATAAGCAAGGCAAAAGTTCTGTGGGGTGCTTAGAAAATGCTAAGCTGCTGCAGAATTTTTATGTTTAAAATTCTAATGTACCGAGTTAGTCTCTGAAAGATTAAATAAAAGATAAAGTGTTTCCTATATCTCTCAAGCTGATATGGGTTGGACATCCTTCTGTTTCCTAGTGCTCGTATTCAGCCCAGGGCCTCACCTATTCCTAGGCAAGTGTTCTACAACAGAGTTATACTCCCAGTTTGGAAACCTTTTTTGAAGAAACGTTTTTCATCATAAGAAATCAATGCTCCCAGAAAGATACTTCAGCAAATACTGTTCAAGGGTGATGAGAAAACTTCAGTCAACATTTATTTTGAGGCAAGAGATTGTTTGGTTAGCTATAACTCCACCTTACTATTCAACCTCTCAATCATTTTAAAACTCTACATACTATCCAAAGAAGGTTCAAATGAAGCAGTATCTTGTCAGCTGAAGAAACTCACCAGAAAAATACATAGCACTCACTAAATAAGATTTAATGCCAGCATCAGGGAAGCCAGGGATGTTCAGCTGTAAGAACCACGCCAAAAAGCTATACTTTAAACTTTTTCATCAAAATGGCAAAATGTTAAAGTTTCTGTGGTTAAAATACAATCTTAGCTAACCAGGAAAATATATTTGTATGTGATATTTCATTTCCAGTGATATTTAGTGAAATATTGCTACTGTATTAGAAATGAGTTGCCTCTGAACACTATATATTAAACACACAATCTTACAGTAAAATAGTCTTCAAACTTTAAGGTTTTTGTAAATTATCAAAAGAATGTCACATATTTAAGTTCACTTGATTTTTTTAAAATACCTTTGAATTTAAAAAAAAAGGCAAGACCAATAAGTATATAAAATACCATCATTTTGAGACTTAATTTCATACAGGAAGATGACAACTCTTATTTGTAAGAAAATCTTACACGTACAAATCGTGTTTAAATGGCTTGTTTAAATTGGCCAGGCAGCAGCACCAGGACCGCTAATCCTCCACACTGTCTGTTAGGCTAGTAAGTCTTAAGATGTTGTTGAGATAACTGGCTTCCATTAGCAAGTCTGTGACTGGCAGGATGATAAAGTCTTTTCACTCACAGGTCAGCTATTTCCTTTCTTTAGAGGAGGGCATTCCTGATGCTCTATCTTTTAACTACAGTCTCTCACTGAGTCCCAGTTCTCTGCCTTCAGCTTTGATATGGTTCTAACTTTCCTTTTGTACCAACTCACACTTGTCATCAGCTCCTCTATTCAGTGCAGCAAATATCAGGAGTTTGACCTCAGGGCAAAGTCCGGGTGGGCAGGTAAAATCTGACCATTGGACCTACTTCCTAATCTTTCATACCCAGCGATTCATGAAGCAGTATCAAATTCAAACTAAAAACCAGAAGCGCGACCCTTATACACACTATGAAAAGAGCTGCCTGCCTTTCTAAGTACACTTGAAAAGAACTGTCAGCCACCCTATTAAGACAGAAATGGATCACAGAGCAGAGGGAAAAAAAAGAAGGAAAAGTGCAGAAACTCAACTGAAATGTAAATAAAGGTGCAAGCACCCTTTATGTCTGACAATAAACTCCTTCACCAAAAGGTAAAGACACTCTAATATCTACTTATGAAGTCAGACGTAAAAGCACTACCAAAACTTTAAAGCATCATTATTTAAATAATCAATAACACTGGATAGAATGAACTTGATGATCTCAGGTAAGACTTTCATTTTCAAGATCAATTTTGATTTTTGCCTATACTCATATTGTATATTTCATAATGTGATTGCAAATTATTTAAAAAACAGATGCAATGAAATACGGCTACCTTTTAGAATTAGTTAAACCTATACCACTAAACTCATAAAACTTAACTTATGGCCAAAATGACATAGCAGCCAAAAGCAAGAGAATAAGAGTCTAGGGACAGTGAATCACTAAATTTCAACATTAATAAAAAACAAAATTTAAGCCCCTTTTAAGACTAGAAAAAATGAACATAATCAACTAGTTCCTCGGAGTTTTCTTACAGAGTCTCTTCCACTTCTACTGACCACCATATGGCAGTGGTGTTAACGCTTCCAGCTATCCCTGTAAAATGGCATTTTCCCTACACATACAGGTTTCATAATTACACACATTCATAGACAGTGTCTAAAATCTTGAAAGTCTCTCAAACAGTTTACATTTAAAAGAGAAGTCAACCAGAACTTAATATCTTCTAAGTACACATATATTCAGTCCCAACTCAAGATGTTAATATTTATAAGTATACTTTAATAAATAATACAATCCCCTAGGGAGATACATGCCTTACAAAGTAGCTATCTTTTTCTTTCCTTTTTTTCTCCCTCAAGACAGGGCTTTTCTGTCCTAGAACTTGCTCTGTAGACCAGGCTGGCCTCAAACTCACAGAGATACACCTGCCTCTGCCTCCCAAGTGCTGGGATTAAAGGTGTGCGCCACCATCACTCAGTTTATAAAGTGGTCATCTATGCTGTCTAAAATGATTTTTTTTTCTTAAGTGGAAAGTAAGGTTTGCTTACTAAATGCAAAGGGCGGTGTGCTGGGCCTGTTTTTGTTAGTGGTGGTTTTTGTTTGTAGAGGAGGGTTCCTGGGCCAGGCTATAGCTACAATTACCAGAGTGTGTCACCTCACCCCCTTGCCTGGTTTTTTCGTTGTTATTGCTGTTTGTCTCTTAAACCGAGGACCTCAGGTGTGCTAGGACATGCTCTATCAGCTGAGCTATATGCTCACCCCCCCCCAGGGACATCTTCAGTTCCATGAACTATGTGATATTATTCATAATCCTACAAACTGCAAACTAGTTAACACCACCTCCTAAATTCAGATGAAACAAAAATCTCTGTGAATAGATTACTCACAAGTAGGGGACGTACCCTCAGTCATTTCCTCTGAGTTGGAGAACATTAATACAGGGTCATAAACTGCCTGAGAAACGAACACTCGATGAATCCTGTTTCCAACCTGCTACAGATTCAGCTTTCTGTGTTAGATCATCTTTCTTCAAGACAAATAAAACAAACAAAGTCCTCTGAAAGGAGCTCCTGCAATAATCTCCTCGGCACATGGGAGCAAAGCTGAGTGACTTCCTCAGCTACCCTTTCCAACTTAGCATGGCTAGCTGACTATAGACCCACATTACCCAGAAGATGGGCCTTGTTGGCCCATCTTGTTGTTATTTAGTATTCTAAATATTGACTGTATGCAGAAGTGAGTGCTTCACAGAAATGGCTTTCTCAGCGTCCTTAGAAACATGACTTGGAACAGCATTCACTTCCATGGTTTTATTCGGATTCCAGTCTGCTCTAAAAGATGTTCAAACACCACAGAATGAAATTACCTTATACTGTTTTGTATCTACTTCAATCACATTTCCTCAACAAATAATGAATACACAGGTGGCAATAAGTACTTACTCCACTTTGACTGTACAGGAATAGCAAAAAGAGCTCTAATCCCAAACATTTACTGAAACTGGAGTTTCTTAAATGCTCAAATTAGTCTTACTGTAGACATCAGTGTGCTGAGGTTCTGCTCATAACAAGGGTGGAGTTTCACCACGGGTCACCTCCATCCCCAGGGGAATGAACATCATTAGCAGACTGATCACAGTGCCTTTGTTTTAATCAGTCTCCATGAGGTTTCCTGCCCAGGACAGCAGTCACTCCTGCTGTCAATCTAGCACTCCTGAACCCTCTAAGGGATCGACCCTGCCTCCACACACTCTGACTCCCCAGCTTTACTAAGCTCCTTAATCCTAGGATTAAGAAAGAAAAAGAAAGGGGAAGAGAAGACTAAGAAGAAAAATAGGAGATAGAAAAAAGAAAGAAAAATAAAAAATACAACAGAGCAGAAATGTCAAAATTTAAAAGTGAATAAAAATAAAAATATAAGGCAGAAAAAAGAGTTCACATTTGTTACTAAACTTTGAACATTCTTATCAAAAAATATATGAGAATAAAGAATTATTTTTTAAAAAACTTAGTTTTAGCCCTTTTTCTGGAGGCATACAAAAATTTACAAAAATTACCATTAATAAAATGCTAAACAAGGGGTGACGTTCTAGTAATAATTTACGTTACTACTACTGATTTTTATATGATCACAAAATTATAAAAAATATTTGCAAGAAACGAATAAATTAGATTCTTATTATGAGAATGTCCATAAAGCTGAGACACTCTAATGAACACGAGTTTAGAGATGGGTTTTTCAGGGCAAACAAACACTCTGGTACCATTAAGAATAAACTGAGGCAGACAGAACAGTAAGTGGCAAGCATCATCACATCTTACTTGTCTGAGATCAATGAATGCCAGTTGCAGGGTGTCCCCTTGAAATCCCGGCACAGGCTCAGAGCTGGCAAACACTGTTTTAAAAAATTTAGAAAATAAAAGGGAATTAGGAAAAGACTGAAAAATATGCAAGACTTTAATTGCTACATTTCTACTCATTACAAATGTAATATTTATATCCAATCATTGTAAACAAAGACCGCTTACAAACTTCAGTTTCCACTGATATGTTCTCCAGACCCATTACTACAAATATTTAGTAATATAAAACTTCTAAACTGTCATTTAATCTGTAACCTTTAATCACAATAAATTTCGAAGGACTGTCCTACACAAGTTCAGGAGTAATATATTTCAACCAAAGTGAAGTTGTCTGACTCTTTTGGCCTTAGGTGAACAATCACAGAAGCACTTTGAAACTACCGATTCCATGGCTGTCAACGAAACTCAAAATGTCAGCATGCACTATAAAAACCACCTCTAGCTAACAGCAACAAAAGGCAGAAATCAAGGTAGGAGGTGAGCTTTACATGCAGACCACAGGTAAAACATTGGATGAATTCAAGAACGTCTGACCTGTCACTTAGCCACTTTGCTTTTCATAAAGGAATTTTTGTCTTCAAAATGAGAGAATTATTTTTTTAAGACAGGATTTCACTGTGTAACAGCCTTGGTTGTCCTGGAACTAGCTCTGTAGACAGTCTGGTATTGAACTCACAGAGATACACTTGCCTTTGCCTCCAGAGTGCTGGGATTAAGAGTGTGTGCCACCAATACTCAGCATGAAAGAATATCTTAAGACAAGATTTCTTTTTTAAAAAAATCAATATTTTTTTCAATATTTTTTGTGTTTTAAGAATTTTAATCCTAATGGTAATGACTGCTGGGTCAGGCCTACAACCCCAGCTGCTTAGGTAGCTGAAGCAAGAGAACTGAAGACCAATCAAGGCCAGAGTTCAAAGTCAGCCTGGACAACCTAGGGAGACCCTGTCTCAAATTAAATAAAAAGGGGGTGGGGCTAACATCCATGGCAGAGTGTTTGCAAAGCAAGCACAACGCCCTCAGTTCAGTTTCAGCACCAGAGAAGAACATTTCCGTTCTACTTTATTTTAAATAAAAGATGATTAGTTCATAAGGACTTCATTGTATGTGTGTGTGCACATGCACACGCACACACGTGCAAGTGTGTAAATGTACTGTATGAGTGTGAATAAGTTGGTGTGTATGTGTGTGCATGTGGAAGCTAGAGATCAACGTGGAGTGTCTTCTTTAATTGTGCTACACTTAATTTCTGAGACAGGAGCTCTGGTGAGACTGGAAATCATCAATTCGTCGATAATGTCTGACCAGCAAGCTCCAAGATCTACCCATTTCTGCTTCTCCATCTTGAGGATTACAGGAACTTGCTGCCACACCTGGCCTTTTTGTGGGGATGGAGATCTAAATTAAGTTCTTGTGCCTGTATGACTAACATTTTCTTTACTGAGCTGACTCCCAGATACAAGAATCTACCATTTAAATTTTTTAGACATTTATTTATGTGTATGGGATTTCACATGAATGTATGTCTATGCGCTACATGTGTGCCTGTGCCCACTGAGACCAGAAGAGGGTGTCAGGCCCCCTGGAACTGGAGTTACACACAGTTGTGAGCCGCCATATGGATGTTGGCATCTGGAATCAGGTCCTCCTGAAAGCATCCAGTGCTCTTAACTACTGGATCTATGTATCCAGCTCCATGATTAAAATAAAATATTTTGTGTGTACATTTTCACGTGTTCATACATATATGCCATGCTTACATGTGGAAGTCAGAGAACAACTTCCAAAATCCATTCTATCTTTGCACCATGTAGGTCCCAGGGATGGAACTCAGGTTGTCAGGTGTGGCAGCAACTGCCTTTACCTGCTGAGTCATCTCACCTGCCCAACACCACCATTTTCACACAAGTGTCTCTGATTCTCCCTCTTGCTAATATCTCAGTTTTCATAGAAACATTGTATAAAGTCCACATGTGAACTTAACCAAGTCAGTATTTAGAGGCTATATATAATTCTGACTATGTTGTTCTTGAAATAATAAAACTAAATCGTAAGTTTAGTGGATTTTGTATAAAACAGTAGTTTAGAAAGGCCTAACATAATTAAATACAAATGAAAATTTACCACAGCCTAATTTACCTGGCCTCCCCTCTTTGGGGACTACAAAGTTCAGAGTAAAATTCTACTTTCTAGGGATAATAACTTCACCTCAAGCATCAACTTTCTGTTTCAGCACTTTGTGAAGTGTATTAGTCTTTTAATTTTTGAATAGATTACTACCAATATTTTTTCATAGTTCTCTGGAACACCACTAAAATCTTTTATTTCTCTTTGTACTACAAAGTTCAGAATTATTCAGTTGATTGTCCACCTTTTCTAAATACTTTGCACTCTTACAATTTTAACATCAGTCCTCACTTCTCGTTCTCTCCCCATCTCTCTGCTTACTATTATCCTTTGTTCTTCCTGAGCTACCAGAGGTGGGGGTCACAGTTAAGAGGGAGTCCAACTCACTCATAAATGGTTTTTAAACATAAAACAAAGAAAACCAGCCCATAAATCACAATCCCAGAAAAATCTAGACAACAATGAGAACCCTAAGAGAGACATATGTGGATCTAATCTACATGGGAAGTAGAAAAAGACAAATTTCCTGAGTAAATTGGGAGCATGCATGGGGACCTTGGGAGAGGGTTGAAGGGGAGGAAAGAGGCAGGGAGGGAGCAGAGAAAAATGTAGATCTCAATAAAAATCAATAAAAAAGAAAAACTTTTTATAATAATTTAAAACTTAAAAAAAAAAAAGAGGGAGCCCGGTGTAGACAAGAGCCTCTCCTCAAATCGGGCTCACTCAAGAGCCAATCTCTCTCTCTCTCTCTCTCTCTCTCTCTCTCTCTCTCTCTGTGTGTGTGTGTGTGTGTGTGTGTGTGTGTGTGTGTGTGCCTCTCTTGCTCTCTTGCCTGCACCTTCCTTTTTTTTTTTTTCTAGATAGCGTTTCCATAAATTGTCCAGACTGGGTTCACATTTGAATGTTCAAATGATCCTCCTGCCTCAGCCTCCCGAGCAATTGAGCAATTGAGTGCAAATGAACCTGGCTAATGGTGATAAGTCACTCTGATATGTACCTTTCACATATAATTAACTAAGAGGTGCCACCACTCCTAACACACAAACATACTTCTTGGGTCTCTGCTGGGGTCCAGGTAAAGACATGAAACAGATGATTAAACTCACCTTTTCTGGGTCCTCTAGAACCAGAAGACAAGTTTTTAACAAGAAGATCTAGCCACTTCTCACCTGATAGCTTTGTCAATGGTACTTTCCACAATGAAAAATGGCAGGTGTCCTACAGCGGCAACTCTACCTGTCTTTACTATGTCCCAGATAACCAAGTTTCTCTATTCCTATTAGACTTTAATTGAAGAATGCTAAAAACAATTATAACAGTCTGTTAAAAATACGGGTCTTCTAGAGGGTGATAGCCCACAGGTTAGGAGCACTTGTTCTTATACAGGGCCAAGGTTCAGTCCACAACCCACATGGCATCTCACAACCATCTCTAACTCCAGTTCCAGGGATCTGCCCCCATCTGCTGTTCTCCATGGCACAGGCATGCACACGGTGCACACACATACCTGTAGACAAAATACTTCTACATACACCAAAAATAAAAATCTTTAAAATTAAAAGAAAACCTAGGATCTCATAAGGCCAGGCTACAAGACAGGTTAATTTTATCTGTAAGACACAGAAAGCAGCTCAAATTCAATCATGCTTGTAATTGGAATATACTTAATTCCCAAACATATGTTCCTTCTGCCTCAGCCTCCCATGGTAGGATCATGGGTGTGTGCCACCATCTCTGACTTCAGAAAGAGACCAATGGTGGAACAATTTTCTGGAGTGTACCAGGCCATGGTAAAAATGCCTGGCACCAGAAAAACTGTCATTTTTCTTCCCCCTCGATTCCTGTTTAAGATACAAACAGTTAAAAGTTCATTGGCTTGGCATTAAACCCAAGAGTTTAGTGTCAAAATTATAATATAAATTTGTACAGCATCTTACAGATCATAAAACTCTTTCTCATATACCATGTGCTTTGATCATTGTAACAATTTATTTTGGCTAACAGGGCACATGGATAATAGCTTATAAAATCTTCCAAGCAAAGAATACCCAGTTTAAAGGTGCCAGCTCTTTGTTTGGCATAGAAAAATTAAAAGTGAAGTGACTTGCCCAGGACCACACAGCTAAATCTGGCATCCTGGCATGTGATCCATTGATCCAGAATCTGATTAAGTTTTCAGTCTCTCATTATTGTCTCCTTTTCGGACAAAGCAGCAGTTTATAACTCTTGGGGCTTTCTCTCGAATATTTTTTAGGGATAGAAGGTGACTTAGCAATCTCAAATCATGCAACACTGAGAGTATTTGTAATAACAGGCTACTCAATTTGACTGGCAACTTTATATTTCTCCCTTTATTTCTTTAAAACTCAAATAACAGTCAACCCTACAGTCTCTCTATTCTCTGCTTTCTCTTCTCTCAAGCCATCAGCATTTCTGGCTTAGATTAATGAACGCTACAGTCCGCTTTATTGGCTGCTTCTCTTTCCTCTTCTTCTAGTGATTAATGTCAGATATAATTATTACTTGGGCATTTCAGAGTTTAGCATCCTTTAATGGTTCACCATCACCCTCATTGTAAAACAAGACTAAGGTCTTTTAAAAGTAGCCTTTGCCTATCTCTCTGGCCTGATCTCTTAAGACTTTCCTTAAACTCTTTCCAAACAAGGTTGCCTAGACTTCCTTGCACACCAGTCTCTTTTCATAATGCCTTTGATCCTCCTGCCTGGAGCATTCTTCTTCCCTCCCACCTGTGTAACTCTTACTTATCCTTCAATTCAATCATCACCTTCTGTGGAAGACTTCCATTATCCCTGGGGATTGTAAGCTGTTTCCTGTGTTCTCACTGTAACTTCCTGTACAAATCCTACCACGGTGCCCATTCTGCTGCCTTCTAATTGTTTATCTG